AAATTAAGGAAAATAATTTTTCTAATAATGAAAAAAAAGAGATACAAGTAAAAGAGATGAAGGCAAGCTGTTCAAACCTTCAGAATGTTAGTGGGCACGTTGAAAATAATTGCCTCATTGAAGATTGGACTCTTTTCTCCTTTCTTCACCGATGTCTTCTTCTTATGCATCTTCTTTCCATGTTGCAGCAGGTAAACCTTTTTGCAACAATGATAAGTTCGTTATTTAAATATTTTGGTTGGGTACATATGAAATTGCTGATCGAGGAGATTTGATCTGCTCTGTTTATGATTTTAAATAGCAATATACGAAAGAATGGTATCAACAAAGTAAAATAATCGCTCTTTATTACTTTGACAAAGAAATCGCCTGTACTGGCGCCATGTAGATTCCTAGCCTTGACAACCACCAGGGTGAGTCTTTCGGCCGTTGGTAAGTAACTCAACGAGAACATCAATTCTCCGAGCCTAGGTGTGGGCAAAGCTGATCCCGAAAGTGGTAACCAGGTTGTCGCACTTGGCGCAGATCCCAGACGTAGACTGGCTTCTCCGATAAGGGATGTACCACCTCCCATATTGGTTTCGTCGGAAAACACCTTGAAAATGTACTCTGGTTCGATATTTTTCAACGCACTTTTTTCTACGTTATTCTATTCGACGCGTACCTCGACGAGTAGCGTTCTCCCCGTAGGAACACCGTTTAGAAGGAACACGAAATTTTCCTGGTAGCTAGGCGATGGATTTCCTCTGTATAATCTCGTTTGCACGTGCACTTCTCTCTTAGGTAGCAGGCAAACTCTGAAAGAGCAATTTGTGTCATTTAATGATTCTCTGTTACTTCATACCTTTTGTTATTTCTAGCGACTGTAATTTTCATTTGTTATATTAGATAATAATGGGACGTTTATAACTAAATCAATATTGGGTGTTTGTACTTGTTGAATATTTTTTATCAATTTAGTCGAAAACGAGGGATCAAAATGAAAAAATGTTACTTTACATTTTGATGTTTTAATTGCTAATCGAAGCTTTTTGGGTTTGAGCCGTGTGTTTCAATATTTCACCGATATCACAGTGTCATTTCGTTTGTGCTCAGCTGCTTAAGATTAGGTGTCTCCTTTTTTCTAATTGGTGAACTGGATAATTAAAAAATCAGGTAAAATGTGTTTCGCACAAGATTGCTACCCAAAGCCTCTATTTAAGTTTTTAGGTGTTTCCCTATTTCTAAAATTTCTCTGCATTGTTGTTACATACGAGCACAAGTGAAACGTCACATCTTACTATCAACGTGTCTTTTAAATCCCGACGAAGCTAACTGCAACGTTGTCGAAACAAACGTTGGAATAAAAAGAAACAATTGGACACAGCTGAAACCTGGAAGCTTCCTCTAACAGTTCAAACAGCCCAAGCTGTGAAAGCCTCAAAATCTTATCTAATATTCTATTTATTCAGAAACTCTGTGTGTTCGGATAGGCTTCACGAGAAAATCGAACCTGGTAAAAGTATCTTGAGCAGGCTGGCCATCCGGAGCAATTAAATCCCTGGCCTCGAGGATACTGACTCCTAGACCACGGCCACCGTATCTATCGTATTCGACACCAACACAGACATGTCCGACAATAGGCGTTTCCTCGAGGTCGTTCAACACCACGCTGGTATCAGAGCAGACACTTTCGCAGCTTATTGCCCTTTTCAAGTTCGATTCATCCGGCGGAGGTTCGGGTTCCGGCCCCTGGGATCCGCGACGACTTCCCGGACTGACCTCATTATGATCGTTCATACTGTAGTGCGTGATGTAGGCATCTTCGAAGGTCTGTGAATTGAACGGTATTTGAGAAATCTCAGATTCGACATTCTGCTCTGTTTAATCCCATAACGCTCGTGCTTGTGTTTTACAGGTGCACAACTAATCCTCGAAAAAGTGCAATTTTGTTCAATTATTTTTTTTCACTATTCATACTGCGCTATCCTTTCTATTCTATTGCAAATATTGAAGTCACAGGATTGTAAATAAATGGGAAATTTATTTCCAAATAATTGAAAATTATTTGCAATGCTGTGAAATAAACGAGAAATTTATTTCTATACGCCTGGGAAATAATTGAAAAAAAAAAAATGAAATCGATCATTTCTCGGGTATCAAGTTGAGAAAAACGCGAGCGTTAAGGGGTTAAGGAAAGGAGAAAGAAGAGGAAAGCAAAGGTTGTTGTTACCTGAGCTAATTTCTGTTTCCACTGTAGTTCTTGATCGTTTCTTTGTCTGCGAGACAAGATTATCAGTGAGTTAATTTGTTCCTGATTTCAGAGGGATGAAATTGTGGTACAGGAAGGAATTTACCTTAACGATTCGACGTCTTCGAGTTTATTAAACTCGTGTATACCGTTCAACCTCTCCATGCTTTTTCTTCTCTGTTCGATACCGTTCAGCATTAAACAGTAGCATTTGTTAAACGCAAATGCGATATCCTGAAAATAGTATTTATTAAATATAGTAGATGATTTTTTTTTTTTTTGATTTTCTTGAGATTTTTCATACCTCTGATGTTCTCGTGAAGCTAGGATCAGTCATGTACGTGTACGCCTCTTGATTGTGATCTTTAACTAGCAACCGTGACGACGGTGGTGGATCTTGCAAACTATTCGACACCTATTAGAAAATAACGCGATTATTACCGTTTACTCCTTAATTACTAAACGAATGAATAAATAAATAATTGACTAAACGTTGTAAACTTACTTTTTGTGCAGTTCTGTGTGCCTCTAAATTAAGCTCAGGACTGTAAAGATCAGAGCTACGTCTAGAACCGTCAGGACCTATTAACTCGGAATCATTCTCCGTATAGATGTCCTGGACTGGTTGTGGCGGGGAACGGACTGATCTAAAGTGAACAAAAATATCGTGAGTACTCACACGAGCTTTATTTTTCGCTTATTAACACGTTCACTGTGGCACCTTTTTTCAGGATTTTCCTCGAAGCGCTGTATTTTGTTATTTTACTCTACAAAGGTTCGATTGGTGTCTAAAACGGTGAAGATAGTGGGAACACGATGGAAGTATCAGTTTAGCACGGAGATAATATTCATCTATATTTTGTTATTGTACTCTGCAGAGGTTCAATTGGTGTCTAATCGGTGAAAATAATGGGAAAGTGATGGAAATATTAATTTAGCACGAAGCTAATATTCAATGAAAAATGAGTCGCATAGGACGATACGTGAGGCCGCGTTTAGAGTTTTTTGAGCCCTAGGCATACAAATGAAAATCGTGGTCCTTCTTATATGTATAAACAAGAACGTTGTGTTAATCTATATAATTACAATTTGAGATTACAAAAAGAGCTCTGCCACCAAAATATCGACAACAGATACCGCCCAAATATGACAACGACGTTCCAATAAAAGTATTACTACTATTATACGTTTTTTAATTAAATTTAGAGTCGTCATTTACAGTTAAATTTATCTAAATTTAGAGTAAAATATTTACTTCGGTTTTGCCAATGCAAGATTCACATCGGTCGAAAACAGAGTTTATTACTCTGAGAATCTCCTATGCCGAAAACAGTGGAAATTTTGAGACAGAGTATCAATCCTTCTTGCATAAACAGAGTAAACGTAATTACATCGCAGTTTCCTTCATTTCGTATTACACGTAACGTTTTAACAAGTCTTTAAAACACCTACGTACCGCAGTGAACGTGTCGAATGCTAATCCCTCTCACCTGTAAAACTCCGAGGCGTCGATATACCTCTGCGTGGTGACCCGTTTAAAAGCGTTAAATATTATCTCGCCGGTGGTTGGCCCGTTCTTTTTTGGCACATCTTCCGGAGGATCTGGTGGCGCTGGTGGCGGCGGTACAGGGCTCGATGCCGTATCGCTGTTAACCTTCATCGCGTTAATCGATTGTTGAATCGTCTCGTCGTAAAGCAGCCGATCCTGTTCATGAAGCTCTGTAAGCTCGTTCATCGTGCCGTAAATAGGTAGATCAGGCAGGCTCTGTATGTACTGCGAGACCTTCTGCAAGCCCTGCGACTCGCGGAACAAGTACGACGAGCCAATATCGTCCTGAAGGCTGGAACTTCTGAACGGCGTCATCTCGATGCTTTGCATCTCGTTGCTCTTGTGATCGAGGTCGTTCCCGAGGCTCTGAGTGCTCTGGAACATCTTAGACAGCACGTCGGGACCGTACATCGATTCCACTACAGTCTGGCTGGCGGCATTCGAAGAATTCGCCATGCCGAAACTGTTCGGCGAGCCTCTCGAATCGTTCCTCGCGTGTTGCTGTCGTGTCATGTGACTCTTCTGGACGATGTCGTAGCTACCGTAGCTCGTGTTACTATCCTCGCCCCTTTTTCCGTCTAACGTGGCTATAGGGGCACCGTGTACACCGTATCTGATCCTCGTAGATTCGACACCAGAGTCGAATTGCCTGTAAGGATTATTGCATCTATTCTCGTTCCTTTGCTCCTGATCCAGCTCGTATCTCAGCCTGGTGTCTACGTGATTCTGCGAGCTGTACGGTGTCATTTGGATACTTTCCGCCATGGTCGTGGATGTATCGTCGTCGAATCGAAACGATCCATGCTCGTTCGACGGTTTATGCAAACTGTAATTCTTGATAGGTTCGTTCTGGAAGAGAAAGACCGAGGGAACGGCGGATCTCGAGGGTACCGAGGCTCTCTGTAACGACGGTGGCGGAGTTAGCGGACCAGGACCAGACTCTTGCATTCTTAGGTAGTCTACGGTGCTCGAGGTTTGAAGTGGAGACGGCCTTGGTCGAGGGGTTGGCCTTGGTTGAGGTGCTGGTCTCAAAGGCTGTGGTGGTATTGTGCTACCGGTTGTAGTGCCCAGAGGCGGATGAAGATCTCTGTCCACCGGTTCGAATCTGTAAATATCACAGTGTTTTACCTTAGAGAAGAGAAGAGCTTTCTTTCCATTATTTCTTCGCTGGTTTTTGCTCCTTATGCTCTGGGAATTTAGAACACCGTTTTACACACCGGAGGTATTGATTTTCACTTCGAACGTCGTTTATCAATTCACCCATTCTCGTTTTCCTCTTTTCTTTAATTCTCTTCTTTTCTTTGTAATTTTTGTATAATCTGTTTTGAATAGAGTTTTCAAAGGCAGAGCGACTATAGAGGATTATTTCGTAACAGGTGGCCTTTAAATGTTGTACACCTGAGCTGAGTTACGTAAAGTTTCTTGTTCAATAATGTAGCTCTTTATTGGAGTGGTAAATTCGTTCTTAATTATGGCGCATACGTTGAAATTGTAACCTTTCGTTCGTGAAATATTAAACACCGGTCGAATGGTTCCGATGCGAGATATGAATTTGATTTTACATTTTGCAGCAGCACGGTTTTCACCCGTCGTCGCATTAAATATTAAGTATCGATTAACCTGGCAGGCCAGACATCGCGTGCTTGTTGAAAAAAAAGGTCGCATAATTTTTCGTATAAATATAGATGGCTTCTATAGACTCGAATTGATTCGCTTTTGAAGTGTGGGCACATGTTAACGATCGTTTCATCAACTTTTCTCTAACGTTTGTTAATCCTGGTGCGTTCTTTCGTTCCACTGTACATTTAAGATCTTTCAGGGTCTTTTCTGACCCAAAAGACTTTATGATGAAAAAAGACCCAAAGACCTTATGTGTAATAATTTTTGTCACGCCATATGAATTTAGACAATAAGCTTTCGATATAATTTTAAGGGAATATAAACTTGATAACATCAAAAATGATTAAAAAAGTAAAAAGGCGATGGGTCAAAAATGACCCAAAGACCTTACGTGTAACAATTTTTGTCACGAGCACGCCATATGAATCTAGACAATAAGCTTTTAATATAATGTTAAAGGAATATAAACTTGATAACAGCAAAAATGATTAAAAAAATGGAATAAAAAGGCGTTGGGTCAAAAATGACCCGAGGACCGTATTAAGGTTAATTACACGTTACAAGGGAGAGAAGCAATAAATGTCCTGTAAACGGGACCGTTTTATGCTTGAACAATAACGAATCATTAAAAACGTAATGCCTTTAGTAACACTAGCGTTATTCGATCGTAAGTTGCTCGAGCTATTAACGGTTTTACTCAATTATCCTGAGTGCTCATTCTGTGAAAAAGAAGTTATTACCGTGCCATCAAGCGTCGACGCGGTTCGCTCAAATTGCCGATATGTACCATGGATCGAACGTATCGACAATGGTTCGTTATCGATGCAACAAGATTAACGCGTCATACCTTTGCGATCGAAATCGATCTACGATGCAGCAACATTGTCTAGAGATATTTTCTTAATTGTTCAAAAAATTTGTTATTCATCGTTTCTCCTGTTCCATCTATTTGTTAGCGAAAATATATTTTTAAGCGTTATTTTGCTTTTATACGATTTATGGTAGGTACTT